ACCTGGAGTTTCACAAAAACACAACCACTGACGGAGGACATATACAAAAGGTAATGACACAGCCCAGACTTCACGAATACAGTGGCTTTGAGAAACAGATCCCTACAACAAGGATGGCTTAGGCACAAGACATAGTAGACACAAACAGTGCCAAGGGCCACAATACCTCTAGTGACCCACAGAAATGTTTAGTTTTTTTAGTTGGAAGAAAAAATATAAATACACTAATAATGAATACATAATAATGAAACTAGTCTGGACTAAATATCTTAAGTATTTTGTTTTAGTTGTAGTTGGACACAATATCTTTTTTTTTTAATATTTATTTTTTAGTTCTCGGGGGACACAACATCTTTGTTGGTATGTGGTGCTGAGGATCGAACCCGGGCCGCACGCATGCCAGGCGAGCGCTCTACCGCTTGAGCCACATCCCCAGCCCCAACTTTATTTTATTTTTATATGGTGCTGAGGATCACCCAGTGCCCTGCACATACATGATAGGCAAGTACTCTACCGCTGGACACAACCTCAGCCCTAAATTTATCTTTATGCCTAAAAGATAGTTAGTTGTAAGATATATTTTAGAATTTTGTTCTAGTTAAGCTCAGTGGCATATATATATATATATATATATATATATATATATATATATATATATACACATATATATATATACACATATATATATATACACACACATATATATGCGCCTGTAGTCCCAGTTACTTGGGAGTCTGAGGCAGAAAGATCAGTTTATTCCAGGAGTTTGAGACAAGTCTGGACAACATAGCCAGTCACTGTCTCAAAATCACAGTAGTAATAACAATAATAATAATATTGTTTTAAGGGTCTAGGGATGTGTGAGGTCCTGGGTTGAATCCCCAGGACAGGAAAAACAAATGTTTTAAGGAGGAAGACAGCCACAAAGCTAACAGTGCCTAGGGGCCTACCAATGTCATCATGCAGTGGCTTGGAGAAAGTACACTCTCTGAGTCTATAATCCTCAGGCATCCAGACTCTGGGCCACAGACAGGCCTGTCCAGCTGCCTCTGCCACCACCTATCCCTTCCAGACCCAGTGAAGTCACGAGGCTCCGCCCACTGCCGTCAGGGTGGGAGGGACCACTGCAGACTCAGCCTCAGCACCACCCCCTTAAAGGACCACCCCCCCTCAAGGCCCACCCCTTGGACCTACAAAAGCTCAGGATTTTCCGCAGCTACTTTTTCCTCCGGGAGTTTCTGGTGCAGCTAGGTCCAGAGTGTGGGACAGTCAGGCTTTTCCTAGGCTACCACCTCAGGATCAGGAAGTTTCCAGGATGACACCCTTCAACCCTCAGGTTAGTAGGGAAAGACGGGCAGACTGATGGGTGTACAGGAGGGATGGGCTGACCTGTTCTTGGTCTCTGAGCATCCCTGCTTCCAGTGGCTGCCAGAATTTCTGATGGAAGAAACAAGAAAGGGCTTCCATCATCAGTCTGGTCAGTCTGGGGCTGAGGGCCCAGTTCTTAGCTCCTCCTCCCTGAATGGATGTCATGGTTTCCTTGGCCCTTGGGGAAGATGGGTGGGCAAGATTAGGCCAGGGCAAGAATTATGGGAGGAGATGGCAGAGGCTTGGTCCCAGAGATGACGCTGATGTGCCCTCCACTGGCAGTGGTCCCCTCCATGCCTTTCCTCTGCCCTTTGCCCTCCCTGAGTCCTGCAGGTCAATGTTTAATTAAATCCAGAGCAGAGGTGGAGTTATCAGCAAGGGGTTCATCCCACCTGCCCTGAGCAGGGGTGAGAGAGTTTGAAGCCTGCCTTCAGCTCTGCCTCCCTTGGCCAGGTTTCCTCAGACCCATCTACTGCCACTGCAGCCCACCTGCTTCACATCTGTACCCTCTTGCTGACCTTGGTCTACGTGGCACAAGGCTCCAGGGGTCCTGTGGTACCCAACCGGCCCTTCATCACAGTTTGGAATGCAAACACCCAGTGGTGCCTGGAGACGCATGGAATAGATGTGGATGTCAGTGTCTTTGATGTGATAGCCAACCGGGGGCAGACCTTCCGCGGCCCTAACATGACCATTTTCTACAGCACGCAACTGGGGACCTACCCCTACTACACACCTACTGGGGAGCCTATATTTGGTGGCTTGCCCCAGAATGCCAGCCTGCATGCCCACCTGGCCCGCACATTTCAGGATATCCAGGATGCCATGCCTGAATCTGACTTCTCAGGGCTAGCAGTGATTGACTGGGAGGCATGGCGCCCACGCTGGGCCTTCAACTGGGATACTAAGGACATTTACCGGCAGCGTTCTCGGGCACTGGTAAGGGCACAGCATCCTGACCAGCCAGAAACTTGGGTGGAGGCAGAAGCCCAGGCCCAGTTCCAGGAAGCTGCACAGGCCTGGATGGCAGGCACCCTCCAGTTGGGACAAGCACTTCGTCCCCGTGGTCTGTGGGGCTTCTATGGCTTCCCTGACTGCTACAACTATGACTTTCTAAGGTCCAACTACACAGGCGAATGCCCACCAGGCATCTGTGCCCAGAACGATCAGCTAGGGTGGCTGTGGAACCAGAGCCGTGCCCTCTATCCCAATATCTACCTGCCTGCAGTGTTGGCGGGCACAGGGAAAGCACAGATGTATGTACGTCACCGTGTGAGTGAGGCATTTCGTGTGACTATGGCTGCCAGGGACCCCAGTCTGCCAGTGCTGCCCTACACCCAGATCTTCTATGACATGACAAACCGACTTCTGCCCCTGGTAAGTCTACTGTGGCCTACCCACCTTGTCAGCCCAACAACTGAGGTTACACAGCCTTGGGACACTTTCATCTATTCTCACATTTGAGTTCAACTTTGTGCCAAGTTCTGTGCTAAGCACAGGTGATTCAGCATTTATTAGAAAGGTTTAGACCCTGTCTCCGTGGCATTTGTAGGTTACAGGGGGAACAGGCTTACATCTGGCTACCAGGGCTACAGAAGCTTTGGATGGGGTTATAAATTATTTGTCCCATCCAGCGGTGTCACAGCAGTCTGCTGCAAGGAGGGAGGGCGGCCCCTACAAAGCTGTGCTTGCTCTTTCCCAGGAGGAGTTGGAGCATACCCTGGGAGAGAGTGCAGCCCAGGGGGCAGCAGGAGTGGTGCTCTGGGTGAGCTGGGAAAACACAAGCACCAAGGTAAGCTCAGGTCTGAGGATTGGCTGGTGGGTGGCTCATACTAAATTGGGAGACCCTGGCCTACCCTTTTTACTTCTGAAGTCCTGACTGGCCAGCACATGAGTATATTGATGTCCTAGGTGGGCCTATGCATGGCTCTAGTGTCCCTGATGCTCTCCCTCCCACCCAGGAATCATGTCAGGCCATCAAGGAATATATGGATACTACCCTGGGGCCCTTCATCCTGAACGTGACCAGTGGAGCTCTTCTTTGCAGTGAAGCCCTGTGCTCTGGCCATGGCCGTTGTGCCCGTCGCTCCAACCACCCTGAAGCTCTCCTTATCCTCAACCCTGACAGTTTCTCCATCCAGCTTATGCCTGGTGGCAGGTCCTTGACCCTGAAGGGCGCCCTCTCACTTGAGGATCAGGCACAAATGGCTATGGAGTTCAAATGTCACTGCTATCATGGCTGGCGTGGAGAGTGGTGTGAGCAGCAGGGCATGTGATGACTGGTCACATCCAGTTGCACACATTGAGCACCTAATGCACTCTGCAAGTGGTCATGGCTTCCACATACATACAGGCACAATCACAGGAGTCATGGTGATAGTCAGGAGTACACTGAGTCACCGTCATGGACATATGGCCTGCTCATGCACACTCAAAGCCAGATAATCACATAAGGAGTTAGAAACCAGGGGCAGACATCATCCACTCCATGTCCATATGTGTCTACTTAGAAAGGTAACAGCTCCAGAGACACTAATCCAAGTCTTTAAATTCATCCAGTGCCTGCTTTGGGCCAAGCCATGTGCTAAGCATGTTCTCTAAAATGAGGCTATGAGAAAGTGTGGCACCCACAGGATGCCTTTTTGCCCAAGGTTGCACAGCAAGAAAAGGGAGATGCTGAGCCAGTCACGCCTGTAATCCCAGCAATTTGGGAAACTGAGGAAGGAGAATCACAAGTTTGAGACCATCCTCAGAAACTTAGGGAGGCCCTATTTTAAACACAAAAGAATAAAAATTTTAAAAGGGACTGGGGATGTAGCTCAGTGCTTAATCGCCCCTGGGTTCAATCTACAGTACCAAAAAAAAAAAAAAAAAAAAGAAAAAAAAAAACCACAAAACTTGTTTCCTTTATGGACCCTGGGTCTGAGAAAGAGAGAGAGAGAGAGAAAAAAAAAAAAAAAGAGAGAGAGAGAGAGAGAAGCTGAGATTCAAACCCAGGCTGTCTCCAGGGATAGAGCCCTTGTGCACCTACTGTGTGCTGAAGGTAAACAGCCTTAAGCGACCGAGTCCGCTGAGGCACCGCACAACCCAGCAAATAAAGCACTCATGGTTTACTTAGAGATTTATTGAGTGCCTAAAATGGGCAGGCCCCTCAGCACCAGAGGGCAGGAAAGGTTCCTCTCTTTCCCTTAAGTCTAAGTCTGCTTGAGGGCGGCTGCTTCCCAGTGTGGGTCCAAATTCCCGGAAGCTCCACCTGATCTAAACATGTTGGACAGGTCGACCCAACCTAGACAAAACGCGACAGGATCTGGGGCAGGGACGGGGCGGAATCCTCTGGAGGAGGGGCCTGCGCGGCTAAAGCAGTAACGTACGGGCCTCGGGCCTGGGCCTCCACGGAGCTGATTTGGGGCGGTGATGCAGAGGACCAGAGAGGCTGGCCACACGAGGCGGGTCTGGGAGGAAGCCGTGCCAACAGATCCAGCTTAGCTCAGCAGGGGCGGCAGCCATAGCAGAGGCGGCGCTGGCTCAGTGTTGTGACGCGCAGAACCAGGGGCGGGGCCTAGGCGGGGAAGTTCCCTTGCCGGCTGAGGGCCTGACCACCTCGGGAGATTTAGGACTAGGCAGTGTGCGGTGGATTGCGATGGCTGCAGTACGTCCGCCGCACCGCTGGGGGCCAGCGCGGACTGACCGAAGAGTCTGAGCGAGAGACAGTGGGATACCGAGCCGTGCGGAGCGAGGACGCGGGACATCCCCGAGCCCGGAATCAACATGTCAGTACCGCCCCCACCCCATTACTGCCTGTCGGTCTTCCCGCGCGTACGGTCCCCAACTAGCCGTGTCTTCCCGCATGCCCTCCCTGCGTCGGTGTTCTTTCCTAGAACATACCGAGCCATACCTACCCAGAGAGAAGCCCCACCCCCAAAAAACTCCACCGTCTATGATCTACAGAAGTGGGAAAGGGAGTTAGGTATTAGCCGAGGCAGAGGAGACAGTGGGATGGCTTTTTATGGACCCAGAGACTAGCCCCGCCCACAGTGGGTGGGGCTGGCACTGAAGGGGTTAAGCCCGCCTAGCATCCTGGAACTGCTAGCGGATCCTGGGCTTACTCCCCCCAGACCAAGGGTGCTGCTGCTGCTACTACTGTTGCTGCCACTAAGGTGGCTGATGCAGGTGAGAGGCTTAGATCCCTGTGAATGGGATGTAATGTGAGGGGAGGGAGATGCCTGTTATTGACTAGTGTTGTTGGATTGTCCTCAAGCTCAGGGAAGATGGGGAAGGAGGGTCAGGAGGTACTGTCTGGAGCAGGAGTAGAGGTGTGGGGCCCAGCTGCTCACCCAGTGTAAGAAATCCTCCAGTATAGACCCTCTTGTCAGCAAGACCTGGAATAAGGTGGGCAAACAATGGTGTTTGAGAACAGGAGATCTGGGCCCCCAACCAGGTAGCCGTTGGGCGCCTCAGTGGATAAAGGAAGGAAACTGTGGTCCTTATCTAGAATGGCTACGAAACTCAGGCCAGAGGGAACCAGGCCTGCAGAAGCAACATTATATGTGGTTGTGGGCTAGGCCCTGGGCTGGTGCTGCTGGGGCCCCATCTGTGGGGACAGTTGATTCCCTGCCCAGAGTCTCCTGAGCTGGGCAGAGTTGGAGAAGGGGCCATGGGCTTTGGGCCCCAGGCAAGAAAGGCAGTAGAGAGAAGGGAAGCTGAGCTGATGGTTGAGTGCATGGGGCCTAAGGGTCACCCAGGCAATTGAAAAGGCTGGGAGCTGAAGGAAAGCTGATATGTAAGGAGATAGAAGGGACAGGGGAACTCCTGGGGGCAGCGTTACCTCAGGTGGGTGTGAACAGGAGGCATGATGTCTGGTTTGCAACTTTATGTGTGCAAGGTTGGCCAGCCATATTGGACTTCTAGAGATAAAACAGCCAGCAAGTATTAGCTGGGTTGACTGTCCACACACAGTGAGGTTCTAGGGAGGACAAATTTATAACCACAGTGGGTAGAGACCAGGACCCGTGGGTTCTGCCCCAGTCTTCAGCATTCACCATTACTCTCAGCCTTCCTCCAGTATGTGGCAGGGCACATGGGTCCATACACCCTGCCCCCGCTCCACCTGAGGTATAAAGGATGGGTCTCTTCCAGGGCACCTGTATCATCAGGTGAGTTTGGAGCAAGGTGCAGCCCATCATGCCCCAGTCCTAGAATGCATGTGCCCCTTTGCACTCATCAGTCCTTCCCTGCCCCAACCTTGTCTTCCTGCCACAGCCCAGCATGGCTGTTATTGATAGGAGGAGAGCCCTTGTAGTCTGAGGAGATGCCACTGCTGGAAGACTGGCCTTAATCTCCAGCCTGGCACTGAGCCACTGCAGCCTAACAGGAGTTAACCTTGGCTCCCAGCCTGACTCAGCTGAGCCTGGATCCTACGAGTAGGCAAGAGCTCACTCTGAGCCCCTGGCCCAGCTACTCTGACCTCTACCCTAGACCCTCTGCACTGGATGGAGCTGATCCTGAGTAACAGCCCAGCTAAACTGACTCTGGGTCCTGCTTGCCAACCAGAGTTGACCCTGAGATTCAACCTGACCAAGCTAACCCTGGATCCCACACACCAGCCAGAGGTGACCCTGAGCCCCAGGCTAGCTGAGCTGACCCTGGATTCCACATGCCATCCAGAGATGACCCTCCGTCCTGACCCAGCCGAGCTAAACCTGGATCCCAGACACCAGCCAGAGGAGACCCCACTCCCCAGCCTGGCTGAGTTGACACTGGAGCCTGTGCATTGTCGACCTGAGCTCCTGGATGCTTGTGCTGACCTCATCAATGACCAGTGGCCCCGCAGCCGTGCTTCTCGCTTACACTCCTTGGGCCAGTCCTCAGATGCCTTCCCTCTTTGCCTGATGCTGCTGAGTCCTGGTCTTACCCCTGAAGCAGCTCCCATTGTGGTGGGTCATGCCCGTCTGTCACGAGTGCTGGATCTGCCCCAGAGCCTCTTAGTGGAAACAGTGGTGGTGGCCCGAGCCTTTAGGGGCCGTGGCTTTGGCCGCCGTCTCATGGAGGGCCTGGAAGTCTTTGCTCGGGACCGGGGCTTCCGTCGGCTACACCTTACCACTCATGATCAGCTGTACTTCTATGCCCACCTGGGCTACCAGTTGGGTGAGCCTGTTCAAGGCCTTGTCTTCACCAGCCAACGGCTGCCCTCCACCCTGCTCCGTGCCTTCCCAAGGGCCCCCTCTTCCCGGCCATCCTACAAAGTCCCAAGCCTGACTGCCCAAGCAGCCCCAAGGGGACCTAAGGGGCCTCCACTGCCACCACCCCCTCCCCTGCCCCAGCCCACCTCACCCTCATCTCCAGTAGGGCCCCTTCCACAAAGCCTGCTGGAGACACAATACCAAGACCTCAGGGGATGCCCCATATTCTGGATGGAAAAAAATATCTGAGGGCCCCTTGGGACAAAGCACTGCCCTTCTGAGTCACTGGACTTCCCAGAACAATACCAGCCTCAGCCCACTGACCATATTTCATCCCTTATCTCCTGGGGGCAGCTTTAGCCTGGGTATGTTTCCTGGGTATCAGTGGGGGGCTAAATGGGGTAGCTCCTGTAGCTCTGGCTTAGAGTCATCAGTGTAGCTGAATAAAGGCTTCTGTTGAGTGTAGGTGTGACAGTTTTTTGTTGCTCTCCACCCTCACTTTTCAGGTTCCCTATTCCTGAAGAAGTCCTGGGATCCAGATTGGCTCTGGGGCCATTGATGGGGTGACACCTGTCCTTTGCCCCTCCTAACTTGCCAGTCACAGGATACAGAATGGCTCTTCCTTTCCCCATTCATTCCCTCATTACCTTTCACTGAGCCCTACTGTGCCTGGCCCTGGACTGGGCATAAGTAATGGAGAATTATACAAGGTCCCATTCAAGGGGACAGATGGGCATACCATGTCAGGATCCATTGTGGGATAAGGAAGTTCAGAGGCTTTGGGAGGACAAGGGCCCTCACTTCTTCTAGGGGTCCAGAATACCCAGAGGTGATGATACTGAGTAGGAATTAAGTGAGGCAGACAAGGTGGTGAGAGCTGAGTGTTCTTGGAGCAGAGAACAAGATGGGAAGATGAAAGAAGAGGACTTGAGATAGCTGTGGGGTGAGGAGGTCTTGGAGGACACAGTGGTACCTTGACAGAGACAGAATACCAGAGGAGAACTACCCAGATCAGTTTGGGTAGTTGGCTGCTCTGAAAGGCTTATAGGATCCCTTGGAAACCACATTTTCCCCATCCCCCGTCCTTGTGGGGAGGAGCTGGGGAGCTTTCCCTGCTCTTCCTGCTGTGCAGAAGGCATGGCTGTGGACTCCAAGCTCATATCCCTTTTTTTCTACAGGTTTCCATCTCTGTGTTACGACCATGCAGCTAAGCCCAGTCCTGATGATGGGGGTGGCCTTGTGCCTGGGGTATGGCCAGCCCTTGCCACAGGCTCCTGATCACCCCTTCTATGTGATATGGAACGTACCCTCAGCACGCTGTAAGGCCCACTTTGGTGTGCACTTACCACTGAAAGCCTTGGGCATCATAGCCAACCATGAACAGCTTTTCCATGGCCAGAACATCTCCATCTTCTACAAGAACCAGCTTGGCCTCTATCCCTACTTTGGGCCCAGAGGCACAACTCACAATGGGGGTATCCCCCAGGCTGTGTCCCTAGTTCTCCACCTGGCACAGGCTGCACACCAAATCCATCATAGTCTAGGACCCAGCTTTGCTGGCCTAGCAGTGCTAGACTGGGAGGAGTGGTATCCTCTCTGGTCTGGGAACTGGGGCCGCCGCCACACCTACCAGGCAGCCTCCCGGGCTTGGGCACAGCAGGTATTCCCTGACTTGCACCCTCAAGAGCAGCTCCACAAAGCCCGTGCTGGCTTTGAACAGGCAGCCCGCGCACTGATGGAGAACACACTGCAGCTGGGCCAGACACTGCGACCCCATGGACTCTGGGGCTTCTATCGTTACCCAGCCTGTGGCAATAGCTGGCATGGTACAGCTTCCAACTACACAGGCCACTGCCATGCAGCCACCCTTGCCCGCAACACCCAATTGCATTGGCTCTGGGCTACCTCCAGTGCTCTCTTCCCCAGCATCTATCTCCCACCCAGGCTACCGCCTGCTCACCACCAGGCCTTTGTTCGACACCGCCTGGAGGAGGCCTTTCGTGTGGCCCGTGCTGGGCACACACATCCTCTGCCCGTCCTGGCATATGCCCGCCTCACACTCCGGAAGTCTGGGAGGTTCCTGTCCCAGGTAAGTAGAAGGTGAAATTTAGGGGTCTGCATTGAGCACTATGATCCTGTCCTATAGAAGACTTAAGGAGAAAACCTTGATTTAAAAGGAAGGTCCTGGTCTAGGGGTTCTTAGAGGAAAGCCCTATCCTGGAGCATCTGAAAAAGGAGCCATGGCTCTGTGTCAGAAGGTCTGAAAGTGTAAGGCAGGGCATAACCTTTGGAACCCTGGTCCAAGGAGAGTCATTCTGAGTGGAGGGCATGCGAAACCCTCTCAAAGACCCAGTGCAAAGGCACCCAACTCTAGAGTTGGAATCAATTGTGACAGTGAAAGTTTCTTGATCGTGAAGGTGGGCCCAGATGGGTCCAACCAGTTCAGCCTGGCTTAGCAGCTCTTTGCCTCCAGAATGACCTGGTTCAGACCATTGGTGTGAGCGCAGCACTGGGGGCAGCCGGCGTGGTGCTCTGGGGAGACCTGAGCTTCTCCAGTTCTAAGGTGATCATTATCCCCTTCCGCCTGTACATGCTGGGGCCCAGGATGGGGGAGAGGCCTTGTCAAGGATATGGAGCAAGAGCACTGACACATCCTTTCCTTCCGCCTCAGGAGAAGTGCTGGAGTCTCCATGACTACCTGGTGAGCACTCTAGGCCCCTATGTGATCAATGTGACCAGAGCAGCCACAGCCTGCAGTCTCCAGCAGTGCCATGGCCATGGGCGCTGTGCCTGGCAAAACCCAGGAAAAATGGAAGCCTTTCTGCACCTGCAGCCAGATGGCAGCCTTGGAGCTTGGGAGTCTTTCAGCTGTCACTGTTACTGGGGCTGGACTGGCCCTACCTGCCAGGAGCCTAGGCCTGGGCCTAAGAAAGCAGTATAAAGCCAGGAGTCCCTGTTCCTACCTATTCTTGTCCCTGCTGCCACTTTCCTAGTCCTGGAGGAACTCCCCCTTTTGCTCTATTCAGCTTACAATCAATACCTTCCCAAGCACACACTTTTGCTCCCACTTCCCTTGGGATCTCTGAGGGGTGGAAAGGGCCAGAAAAAACGCTTATAAAACCAAAGTCCTCTGAGATCATCTGACTCCTCATGACACACAGCAGCCTCTGGCAAAGTCAGGGCTCCAGCTGGTTAAGGGTTGCCAGCCCAGGGCTTTGTTCCTATACCTTAGTAGGTCCACAGAGAAGTCACAGGAGGGCCATCCACGGGCAAATGTTCCCAAGAAATCTGGGATAAGGTCTCTAAATGCTAAGCTGTTATCTGCACTACGTTTTCATCAGAAAGTCACTTTTTCTTTCATTGTCTGAAAGGGTCTGTTCTCCCTATAGGGTCCCGGAATTTAGCCTGAGCCTTTGAGCAAGTGAACCGCTGCAAGGGCCCTAAAATGTCGGTCTTGCCATGGTGCTTCATCCGTGGAAGGAAAGATCAGAGTTAAGGACTGTGCCATCGTGCACAGCGCGGGGCTGAACAGCGGGCAGGGCATTGTGGGTGCAGAGTTCAGATAGGGCGGGCACGGCTTGTGGATCCAGGAGTTAACAGCGACTACCGTGGTGCTCTGCTTCTAGACAGCAGGCCCTAACCTGTGCGCGCAGCCCCCTGGGAATAGTAGTTCCGGGGCCGTGGATGTGGGTCTGAACCAGGTGGCCGGGAACTCGCCTTCCCAGCTACCCGTTTGGCAGGGCGGGGCGCCTCGCGAAGATGGTGGCGCGCGCGGCGTGTGGCTCCCGTCGTCTGTCCAAGTCTCAGCACAGCGCACCGGCCAGCATCTCGCTGGTTTGGAGCGCCCGCCCGCCTGGTCCCTGACCCCGCGCCCCCCATACCTAGTTCCCAGTATGCCCCGCGCCCGTAAGGGCAACGCGCCCCGCAAGGGCGGCCAGCGCCGTGGAGGTGAGTGGGGGGCTCCAGGCAGCTGTTAAGCAGCGAGCAGAGGCCCCGCGTGGGTCCCCGTCGTGTCCCCGAGGGTCCTGGGGCTAGGAACACCTCTTGATTAGCCTAGCCTCCCTGAACTGTGCCGAGGCCCGCACGTGTCCCAGCAGGCATCGGCCACGTGTGCGCCCAACTTGAGCGCGCTGCCAGCCGCCTGTCGGGATCCCGCGTTCCTAGTGGTGACTCAGCCAGTACCTTTGGACATTAATTTTCCCACTGCCCCTCCACCCCATTTGCCTGCTGGGGTGGATAAACCTACTGGACAGAGAGCGAAGCTAGCCTCCTTGCCAAATCCGTGTCCTTTGGTGGTCTGGACAGGGAAGCTGGCAGACGCCTAACTTGCTCCCAAAACTGAAAGAGGTGAGGTGCGAGTGGGAAACTACAGAATCCGGGTGATTCCTGTCAGGGGACTGGATGAATACCCTAGAGCCTGAGGCAGTCTTAGTTATTGCTTATCAACCAAGAACCTGTCCTGTTGAAGTAAACACATATGTTTGTTCTGATGCGATAGAGTGTCTGACCACCGCCTAATGGGGCTTGGGTGTGGAACACTAAATAGGGTAGTGACAGTTAAAAGGGACTGGTGCTGAAACTTTTTCACGGAGTGGTGTCAGCCCCAGACTGAGGAACTTAGGAAATCACATGCAAAGAGATCCTCTGGGTGAATTCTGAGAAGATGAGAAGAGATAACCATGGAAAGAGAGCAGGTTGTACAGAGATTTGGCAGCTGCGGGGATCATAATGCAGTGGAGCAAATGAGAGAAGGCTGGGCTGCTTTTGCAGCTAGGTAAAGAAGAAGTGAGCAGGGGCAGTGTGCCTGCTGGACTTTTTCCTACAGGCAAGGAGTATAAGTAGTTTCTGAGATGTAGGGCCAGCCTTGTCGTCAGAACCTGTCCAGGGCTTTGCCACAGTAGCCACCCTTACCAAAGTAGCACGTAGCTTTGGACAGAACATATATCAGGAAGGCTCTCGCTAGAGATTTCCCTGTGTTCTCCTTTTTTAGGGGCCAGTTTCTTCTCTACCAGGGTCAGGAGGACTGTGTTTATCTAAAATCCACCATAGCTGAAGGTCCTGGATGGACCAAAGGAAGCTCAGAAGACAATATACTTGAAACATGGGATACCCAGCACATTCAATAGAAGCTGGGCTTTTGCCCTCAGAACTCATAGGTGGCTTGATGAATTTGTTGGCCTGCAGCAGAGCCATAACAAACCACTTGTCTTCAGCTGCTCCACCTTAAATGCATTTGCTTCTCTGTTTTGCAGATAGAGAAATGGAGGCTTCAAAGCCAGGGCAACTGACCCATTACAACTCTGTTAAGATATAGAGCTGGAGGTGCTGGGGTTTGTGGCTTAGCAGTAGACTGCCGCCTAGTATGTTCAAGGCCCTGGGTTCAATCCTCAGCACCACATAAAAATAAATAAAGGTATTGAGTCCAACTACAACTAAAAAATAATACTAAAAAGAAAAGATGTAGAGCTGGGGGTGTTGTTGGGTTGTGGCTCAGTGGTAGAGCACTTGCCTGGCAAGTGTAAGGCACTGGGTTTGATTCTCAGCACCTCATAACAATAAATAAACAAAATGAATGTGTTAAAAAACAGAAAAAGTTGGCTGGGGCTATGGCTCAGTGGTAAAGTGCTTGCCTAGCATGCATGAGGCACTGGGTTCAATTCTCAGCACCACATACAAATAAATAAAATAAAGGCCCATTAACAACTGGAAAATATAAAAATATTTAAAATATAAAAATATTTTTATGGCTGGGGATGTGGCTCAAGCGGTAGCGCACTTGCCTGGCATGCGCGCGGCCCAGGTTCGATCCTCAGCACCACATACAAAGATGTTGTCTCCGCCAAGAACTAAAAAATAAATTTAAAAAATATATATATTTTTAAAAAAAGTAGAGCTGGGGACCAAGGGTGTAGTCCAATGATAGGACACTTGCCTAGCAAGTCCAAGACCCTGGGTTTGCTCCCTAGCTTGGGGGGAAAAAAAGAAGTGAGCTGGAGTTTGAAACCCAGATCTGCCTAACTATAAGACCCTGACCTTTGTATTGCCCACTTTAGGGCATAATCCAAGCTGGGCCACAGGCCTAGTTGGACCCATACAACCCCTCCCTTCTACCTCTAGTTTGGCTCCCAGTCTCATTCTTAAAACAGGCTTTGAGGGCAGGGGATGTGGCTCAGGCGATAGTGCGCTTGCCTGGCATGCGTGCAGCCTGGGTTCGATCCTTAGCACTACATACAAATAAACGTTGTGTCTGCCGAAAACTAAAAAATTAATATTAAAAAATTCTCTCTCTCTCTCTTTAAAAAAAAAAAAACAGGCTTTGATCTCAGGGAGGCTCTTCCCACCAAGTCTGCCACATTATCCCTAGCTGGGCCTTATTCTTGACACTGTTCAAACGATTGATCTCCTTCCCTTTTTCCTGCTTCTTGGCTCAAGTCTGCTGTTTCAGTTCATGTACTGCCCAACTCAGTTTTGGCCCCCTCATCTTTGAGAAGCGGGGCAGCATTATGTCTTGTTTAGTCATAAGGTTGAGTGAGATATGCCCAACTTTCATTAATGGAAGCAAGCCACTTTTTTTGTTTGAGACAGAGTCTTGCTGTTTGCCAAGGCTGCCCTCAAACTTATAATTCTCCTGCCTCAGCCTCCTGAGTAGTTGGGATTACAGGTGTACACCACTGAACCCCACAAACGTATCCTGTTTTTACTCTCATCAGGTGCCCGGAGCAGTGCCCAAGCTGACTCAGGTTCCAGTGAGGATGAAGCAGCCAGTGAGGCCCGCAGTACCACCAGTGACTGTCCCAGCCTTCTCAGCACCACAGCAGAGGACAGTCTGGGTGAGAGCAGGTGGCAGTTTGGTCGGGGCTTGGCTCAGGCTCCACTGGGCGAGGGCAAGAAGTGGTGCTGACCCACTGGCCTTGCAGGGGGGGATGCCGTGGATGAGCAGGGCCAACAGGAAGACCTTGAGGAAAAGCTGAAGGAATATGTGGACTGCCTCACAGACAAGAGGTATTCCTGGCTGCCAGCCAACTCCTACAGTGGGGCCCTGCTCAGCCCATGCCAAATATGACAAAGAGGCTGGCCCCCATGACCCCCCTTCTCTATTTCCCTAGTGCCAAGACCCGGCAAGGAGCTCTAGAGAGCCTGCGCCTGGCCCTGGCCTCCCGCCTACTTCCTGACTTCTTGCTAGAGCGCAGCCTGACACTGACCGATGCCCTGGAAAAGTGCCTCAAGAAAGGTTAGGCCCTTAGGATACATGGGGAACCTTAACTAGGCAGGAGGTGATCCTTGCTGCCTTGGGCTAACTGAAAGGATCCCACAGGGAAGGGCGAGGAACAAGCCCTGGCTGCTGCTGTCCTAGGCCTGCTGTGTGTGCAGCTGGGCCCTGGACCCAAGGGTGAGGAGCTGTTCCATAGCCTGCAGCCCCTGCTGATCTCTGTGCTTAGTGACAGCACAGCTAGCCCTGCTGCCCGGCTCCACGTGAGTATTCCCAAGCGCCAAAGAACCTTTCCTTCACCTTATCCCTAAGTAGAGTGATAGATTTCACCTGTTCAGGCTCCCCTACTCTAAGGGAGTTGAGCCCCACGGCTGGGAAGCTGGGTTCACTCCCTAACCAGGTCTGGCTCTGTCCTCCTCCCAACAGTGTGCTTCTGCTCTCGGCTTGGGTTGCTATGTGGCTGCTGCTGATGTCCAGGTGAGTGGCCTTTGGACACAAGTGGTACCACCTAAACCCATAGATCTGTCCCTGAGTCCATCCCCTGCCTCCTTGTGCTCCTAGGACCTGGTCTCTTGCCTTGCCTGCTTGGAAGGTGTTTTCAGCCGGTCCTGTGGCACAGGTGGTTCCACAACTCCTGTGGTCCCTGCCAGTCTTCATGGGCTGCTTTGTGCTGCCCTGCAGGCCTGGGCATTGCTGCTCACCATCTGCCCCAGCACCCATATTAGCCACATCCTTAACAGGTAGGGGCAGCTGTCCACTGGGAGTGGGAGGAGATCATGATGGGGCCCCCAACAATGCCCACACGTAGCTTAGCATGCCTCTTCCCTAGGCAGCTGCCCCGGCTGCCCCAGCTCTTGTCCAGTGAAAGTGTGAACCTGCGGATTGCTGCTGGTGAAACCATCGCACTACTCTTTGAGCTCGCCCGGGACCTTGAGGTGTGAGGGACAATGGGGGTCGTGGGGGGTGCCTGCTTGTGCCATTGCCCCCATCCCAGACTGGATGCAGAACATGCCACAGATAACAGAGCAGCCTGGGGTCATTATGCAGGGAAGATGGCCTCAACATTGACTCACATGCTAGGAGCTGTGATGGGGACTCTGAACAGTGGTATTCTGTATAGGCAGAGGCCGAGGAGGGGTTGAGGGAGGTCAGACAGAAGAGGAGGATTCTCAGTGAAAGAAAGGCTTCAGGCAGCTTACATTAAGAGCTAACACTGGGGGGGGGGGAGAAAAAGCCAATGGAGCTCACAAACCCAATCTCCATCGCCCTCCCACAGGAGGACTTCGTTTATGAGGACATGGAGGCACTCTGTGGTACCCTGCGCACTTTGGCCACTGACAGCAACAAGTACCGTGCTAAGGCTGACCGTCGGCGCCAACGCTCTACTTTCCGTGCTGTGCTGAACTTTGTTGAGGTGCGTGTGAGAACGAGTGTGTTCTAGCACGAGTGCATCCCCAGGCATAGCAGCCAAGCCCAGTCGTGTGGGCCCCTCTACCCTGCAGGGCAGTGAATGTGAGGAAGAGACAATCCGCTTTGGACTTGAAGTGCTCTATGTGGACAGCTGGGCTCGGCACCGGATCTATGCTGCCTTCAAGGATGTGCTGGGTTCCGGCATGCACCACCACCTTCAGGTGGGAGGCTACTCAGGGAGGGCTGTCCAGCTTGGCTACTTTGGACTGTCCTGAGTTTATTGCCTTCTTTGTCCCCAGAACAATGAGCTTCTTCGTGATATCTTTGGCCTGGGCCCGGTGCTGGTGCTGGATGCCACTGCCCTGAAGGCCTGCAAAATTTCACGCTTTGAGAAGGTTTGTGCCCTAGGCACCTGTCTTTCCCTCTATTCCTGTTTCCTAGGGGCCTGGAGCTCAGCAAGGGCTGCCAGAGGAGCCTGGGCTTTCCCTTCCTGGCTCACCACATCACTCTCTTTGCCCCTACCCCAGCACCTGTACAATGCTGCCGCCTTCAAAGCCCGGACCAAGGCTCGCAGCCGTGTAAGGGACAAGCGGGCAGACATCCTGTGATGAGGCGGACCAGCTGAAGAGAAGACTACCCTCATTGTTGCCCATATTTTTAACAGAAGAGAGTGCAAGAACTGGTCTCTGCCAGTGATTGTCACTTTATTTTTTTAATGGCAAAACCAAAAACAGATATAGGGTGGATGGGTGAAGGGTCAGGACTTTTGGGACCCTGGCCTTTGTCCCTGCACTCAACCCTATGGCCTCTTCCTGCCCTTTCTCAGGTGAGGCCAAATGTGTGCCTCTCCCAGGGTAGTCAGTAGGGAAGCTATCCCTCCCTTTCCTTTTTTTAGGCCTTGTTCCCCTGGGGTGATACACTTTCTTTGGGGGACTGGCATCTGGACAAATGCCATCATAGTAGGTGTGGAAGCAAAGCGACCTGGAATGGATTTGTGCAGATTTTTAAAGATTATATAAGAGATAATTAAACTGAATGCTCAGCTTCTTGTGGCCTTGACTCCTAGGTATTTCGGCCCGCTCTCCCTCCCTATCCACCATCCCAAATTTGGGCCAGCTGGGTCTCCCCCATCTCACCTTTGCCCTCCATGGCAGTCTCTCCTCAAGTGGGGCTCCCTTACCTCAACTCAGAACCCAGCCTGTCCTTGAGAACTGAGGCTGGACCCCCACTGGGAGGCCTGGCAATCACTGTAATGGGGGCAGCTATTTCTAGACTTCTGAACCTTCCATCTAGGGGTAGCCAGAGGGTGCTGACAGGCCACAGGAGAAGCCAGGAGGCTGGTGCCCTGTCGTGACCTTGAGCCACCCAAATCAGGTCCTTGACATCAGAAAGCTTAGCTTTATCTAGACCTGGCCTGAAGAGGTCAGGAGAGGGAGGCAGGCAGCTGTAGAGTCACATCAGGCTCTTGTACAAAAATTTCACCAAGGAAGTAGTGTAGACCAGCACTGGGAGAGGAGAGGCCTGCCCATGGCTGCTTTATTCCCCCACATAGAACCCCAGACCATGAGTTCAAGTGGTATCTCAGCTGGGTGTTCGGGCTTCACTGGAGTTCAGCCTCCTCAGCTGGCTGAGACTGGCTAAGCGGAGTTTGAGCAGAGTCTCCTCCTGTGTTCGAAGTGTGTGTGCTAGGACCCGCAGGGATTCACTCTGCAACACTGGAAATGTACAGGCATTTGTGGAACCTGTCAGACCACGTTGCTCCCCGACACCTCCCCCAATCAGCCCAGCATCAGGGAGTTCCCATTGACCCCTGACCACCCTTCATTGCTGCAGCATCTGCAGTTGCTCTTTCCAAAGAGCCACCCAATGCCCACTGCCTTGCCCTCAGTTCCCACCAGCTCTGTCCATCCCTACCACTCAGGTAGACAGCCAAGATTGCAAGCGCCAGGCAGGTGAGCACCAGCAGTGCCAGCAGTAATAGGAATCCCCCACGGTCACACACTGGGCTGCAGCCAGCCTGGGTACACAGTGATGGCGGCAAGACACCTAGCAGCTCATCCCACTGCCGTGCCTCTTCAGCCACATAGGGACGAAGGGATCCTATGGGGAGGATGAGATATTAGGGCAATTTCCTCTCCTCCCCCAGTACATCCATCTCTCACCCCTGCCCCTACCTACCTCCACTGTGCAGGTCACTGATGGACTCCACTCTGTGCAGATGCACCTCCTGCACATGGTTGGGGTCCAGTGGCCCCCTGCTCCTCTGGCTGTGCATTGATGCCACAGTGTCTGCAGGGAAGTGAGTCTGATTCAGCCAGACAGGTCACTTCTTCCCTTCTCCCAGATAGCCCTCAAGAAGCAGGGACTTGGGAAGGATGGAGACAATGGGAATTTGCTCCAAATCCCCTACAACTTCAGGAATGACCTTGGTTCAGATCCAGAACAACCTCAGCTACTTACTTGTACAGTAGCAGGTACACTCAACTTGCTACCATGTATCATTCCAAGCACCTGGAGGGACTTTCAGCTACTTATCTGCCTGCTCATTTCTTTTTTTTTTTTTTTTTTTAATATTTATTTTTTAGTTTTCGTTGGACACAACATCTTTGTTTGTATGTGGTGTTGAGGACTGAACCCGGGCCGCACGCATGCCAGGCGAGCATGCTACCGCTTGAGCCACATCCCCAGCCCCTCATTTCTTTTTTTGTTTGTTTTTTGATGGTACTGGGGATTGAACCCAGAGCCTTTTGCATGTGAGGCAAGCACTTTACCAACTGAGTTATATTCCCCAGCCCCCTGCCTGCTCATTTCTAGCAAATAGTTATTCAGCCTTGCAGGACTAAGTCCACAGTACACACAGTTCAGTCCTCTTTTGTTTATCAAAGACCTGAAGACCTGTGAATTAGTCATCTGTCCAGACCTTGTGCTCTGTGCCTTCTGGGCAGCAAACTGCCCCATTCAAGACCATTCAAGACCTCATGGAAACTGGATATGATGGCACAGGTTTGTAATACCTGAAACTCAGGAGATTGAGGCAAGTGACTGCAAGTTCAAAGCCAGTCTCAGGGAGTCCTGGTCCGAACACATTGTGGAACCTTTTCTTCCCAGCCTTGCTTCTGTGTTCTTTAACAAACTGAGTATGATTCTGCAGTTCTGCAAAACCTGCTGTTTTCACTCAACATCACTGAGACTCCTCTATTAAAACACTTTCTCATGTCTCTGCAGGCATGAGACTGCCTGGGCATTTAGGTTATTTCTGGGATCCTTTGGAAGTTAACAGCCCCCAGACATCCATCATTGAGTATGAAAATTTCCCCCAATTTCTTGGTAGTCTTTTTTTTTTAACCTTTATTTTTTTTTTTTTTTGTGGAGCTGAGGATTGAATCCAGTGCCTTGCACACGCTAGGCAAATTCTGTGCCACTGAGCCACAACCCCGTCTCTTCTTGGTAGTCTTTAATGACAATTCCCAGAAGAGAAAATTTGGATCCAAGAAGGAAAGGCTTTTTTGGTTTGGTTTGGTTTGGTTTTGCTGTTATTTTCCAGTACTGAGTGTTGAACCCAAGGTCTCACACTGCTAGGCAAGTGCTTTAGCACTGAGTACTTGCCCCCACCCCATTTTGTTTTATTTATTTTATTTTTTAATTGTAGACGGACACAGTATCTTTTTTTTGAGAGAGAAAATTTGTTTACTATTTATTTTATAGTTTTCAGTGGATACAACATCTTTATTTTTTATTTTTATGTGGTGTTGAGGATCGAACCCAGTGCCCCGCGCACGCCAGGTGAGTGCACTACTGCTTGAGCCACATCCCCAGCCCACAATATCTTTTTTTATTAATTTTTTTTATGTGGTGCTGAGGGTCCAACCCAGTGCCTCATGCATGTGAGCCAAGTGCTCAACCACTGAACTACAACCCTAGCACTTTTTTTTTTTTTAATTGAACCCAGGGATGCTTAACCACTGAGCTGCATCTCCAGTCCTTTTTATTTTGAGACGGGGTCTTGCCAAGTTAACTCGGGGCCTTACTAAATTGCTGAGTCTGACTTTCAACTTTTAGTCCCCCTGCCTCAGCCTCCCAAGCCTCTGAGATTATAGGCATGTGCCACCATGCCCAGCGTTTTTTTTTTTTTTTTTTTTTTGGTTGGGAGTGGGGGAAAGGTCTCACTGTGTCACCCAGGTGGGCCTCAAACTTGCCATCTTTCTGCCTCAGCCTCCAGAGAAATCTGGTATTACAGGCATGGGCTACCATTTCTAGTAGGTATTTCATTTCTCAGCTATCATCAAATTTCCTCCAGAAGGTGTGTCTGCAGCCCCAACATATCCAACATTTGGCATCCCCACTAGGGGGAAAAAAATTTATATGCACACAGTTGAATAGTATTTGTAATATGAGAGATAAGCAATTACCTTTATTTACTATTTCTTTTATGGGTATGGAGATCAAACCCATTCCTTAATGTATGCTAGGTAAGTGCTATATCACTAAGCTACAACCTCAGCCTTGAGAAGTTGTCTTTTTTAATTTATTTGATGGGGTTTCTTGCTGGCCTCATACTCCTGGACTCTAGTGATCCTCTTCCCTCAGCCTCCCATGTACCATCAAAGGTTTTTTTTTTTTTTTTTTGTATTGTGGTACTGGATATTGAACCCAGGGGTACTCTACTGCTGAATTATACTCCCAGTCCTTTTTATATTTTACTTTTAGACTGGGTCTAAGTTGCCCAGGCTGACCTTGAACTTGCAGTCCTCCTGTCTTAGCCTCCTGAGTCACTGAGATTACAGGTGTATCCCTTGTACCTGGGCCATCAAAGTATTTTATGATTTCTAGATATGTAAAATATATATAGTATATATATGGGACTGAACCCATGTACGCTCTACCACTGAGCAAAATCCCCAGCCCTATTATTTATTTATTTACTTATTGCTACTGGGGATGGAACCCAGAGGCACTTTACCACTAAGCTACATCTCCAACTCAATTTTGAGACAGTCTCACTAAGATGCCCAGGTTTGCCTCAAACTTGTAATCCTCCTGCCTCAGCCTCTGAAGTTGCAACCATGTCCAGATAATCATATTTTCTTCTGATGTTCTTTGACTTGATTTTTTTAAAATCTTGGCCCCATAAGAGCTCCAGATACCCACCTAAAAGTTGGATCAGGGAAGGAGGGCTTTAGAAGGATTCTTCCTGTTAGAGATAATGGTGGCTTTGGACTCTCTGGGTCTATCACTCTCAGGTCAATAACTCAACTTTTATATTTGCTTGAAGCTGTCCCTTAACATGCTCAAAAGCAAGACAAATAAAAACAGATGCTTCCAGACCTCAAGTCTGGGTGATAGTTTGAAGGTCAAGTACCCTCTTTATACTTAGTGTGCTTTTCCCTAATTTAAATTGAACACGGATTCTGTTTGTTACAAAAAAAAAAAAAAACAGTAAACGTTATTGTTAAGATCTGCCCTCCCCCCAAAAATGAACATTTCCTCTTACCTGAGTTCAAGCCACTCCCCTGTAGTATAAAATGTTGGAAATGTGATGAGAGAGCCAGTCACCTTGACCAAGCTGGATTGTGGGCTATCGCCTAGAACCATAGTCCTGTGACATGGCCAGCCTTCAAATGTAGCTTCCTAGATTCCTGTTGCTATGGCTCCTTTGAGCCTCAGGACTTCTTTTATTAGTAAAGCAGTTAGATGAATGGCCACCAAGCTCTTGAACAGCTGAGTCAGTCTGTCCAGACTAAGGGAACTCAACCCTTAGTTGGGGAATATTTAGTCCTAAATTAGGGGAAGCCATAGGCCTATCTACTGCTCCGTCCCTAGGCAGTGCCCAAATGGGCCTACCCCCCAGTCCCAGTTTTCTCCCTGAAAGAATAGCTGCACTGGCCAGGCAGCTGTCCGGATACCCACACCCACTAAGAGTGGCCTGTAGTTGACTCACTCCTAGTGGGTAGCTTTCCCCAATCCTTCCATGCAGGGAAAACTGAGATAGGGCCTACTGTGGGAAAGGGTTCTAAGCATGGAAGGCTCTTCATCCATCCATGGGATAGGTCCTTTTACTAGAGCTGGGACATGAAAATTGATGACTAGTCAAACAATGAGATCAGTGGGACAGAGGGTGAGTCTCTCCGTGGTTCAAGGGTAACAGTACTGGGGCCTTGCCCTCCCTCATGATCACCCTCTCCTACCTTCTTGAGTCCTCTCATGCATGGCAAGTGGTAGTCAGGGGGCCAATGAGGGTGCTCAGTAGCAGGGCTGGACAAAGCAGCAGCAGCAGCTTCTCTGGGAGCCTGGGGAAGGCCTGGCCACTTTCCAATCTAGGCTTAAAATAGGCCTGAGCTCAGCCAGCTGGGCTATATTTAGAGGGGGCAGCTCTTAGCCATCAGAAGGGGCGGAGTGACCCACATGGGTCAGCCTAGACTATCTACCTGGTGATAGAGCTCAGCCAAGAGCGTGCTTCCACTAGTACATAAGTCCAGCAGCCTTCTCAGGGAACTATATCACTTCTATATGTACACAGGCCTTGGGGCCTTCATCCAGAATAGCCATCACAGGCTCAGTCTGTAGCATGGCAGCCATGACATAAAAGGAGACACTGTGCAACTCTATTCAGGCCTCACCTCTGTAGATCTTTACCCACAGCCTGGCCATCACCTTCCTGCAAACGTGAGACAAACACCCACCACTGGGTGACATGATAGCACTAGAGATTGTGGATGTTGGACAACTGAAACCCAGTGCCATAAAGGTGCACACATAACACTTATGGTAGCCAGTAGACAGAACTGGATTGGAGATCAGAACTTCCACTACTACTCTTACAACCTTATGTAAAGGATCAACTTTCTCTGGCCTCTGTTTTCTTGACAGAACAATGATTCCTCTCTGGCAGTCATCAAGAACATACATACAATCATGTATCTGAAGCACTTACCCTGGAGCACAGTTTTGGTTCTCCCTGTCCTCTCAGCAGGGCTCACATGGATCATGTGAAGATCCATAGTGCTGCTTACCCTTGAAGTGGAAGGGTGACTTCCAGCCCTCCCTCTATAAGAGGATCCCTGGCCCCCTCCTACCCAACTGAGTGAAGACTATGGGTTCTACCACCCAAAACACCCCCAATCCATCATTACATGGTATCAACTGGCCTCCATGCTGCTCCTCAAATTTGGTAATCTTGTTCTCCCTCAGGACTTTGCACTGGCTGTTTCCTCCTGGAATGCTCTGCCCCAAAATATTCCTATTGCTGTTTACTTCCTGTCTTTCATCTCAAGTGTCACCGTTTTAGTGAGGCCTTCTGCTCACATTCCTTTTCCCATCACCCAGTTGTATTTTCTTTTTTTTTTTTTTTTGGAGAGGTGGTGGGGTGGGGAGAGGGGACCAGGGATTAAACTCAGGGGCATTCAACTACTGAGACACATCCCCAGCCCTATTTTTTGTATTTTATTTAGAGACAAGGTCTCACTGAGTTGTTTAGTGCCTCCCTTTTACTGAAGCTGGCTTTGAACTCTCTATCCTCCTGCCTCAGCCTCCGGAGCCGCAGGCCTTACAGACATGCGCCACCTGACCCGGCACCAGTTGTTTTTTCTTCAGAGCATTTAGCTCAGATTATATTATGCAGAATGTACCATGTATGTGTGTCCCCAAAGGCCCCACACAACTTGCTCAGTCACTTTAACAACATTATTAATCCTCACCTGGACAATCTTGGACAGAAGAAACTCAGACCTTTATGCTGCGAGAAAGATGCCCAATAACACAGAGTAAGATCTACGATTAGTGGTCATCTCGGGCTATTCCAGCTTTGGTTGATAATGTGTTTATTGCATTACTTTAGTACAGTCGTCCTGCCTCGCCCGGCTCCCAACAGCCCAGCCTATTCACAGCTTTCTGCTCACTGCCCAAGGGAGGGGAATCCCTCTGCCAAGGTGGGCATCCAGAACACCTCCCTGATTCTGCTCCTTGATCTGGAGCCCTGCTTCTCGGTACCTTCCCTCTGGGCTAGATCCTGCACCAGGCCTGGGCCGCCCTTCCGGGGCTACATTCAAGGGTTATCCTGTTAATAAATAAGCCGGAGCGGCTGCCCTTCTACCAGGGCCTGTTGGTTGCTGTCTCCATCGGCCCGGGGACCTCTGTGCTCCCGGTCCTAACCCATCTGTCTTCCTGGGGTCTGTCTGCCCCTCTTCCCGCTGTCATCTCCTGCCTGGTCCCTGGCGTGGGGACGGCCCAGTCACCAGTGTGCTGCGCTACGCGGGCCCCTCTCAGCACGAGGCTCAGAGGCATGAGTCCGCCTGTTGCGGCCCTTCCTGCGTGACTCCAGGGCGGGCGGGCGCGGCACTGGCTGCGGGCGGCACATGCGCAGGGAGTTCGCGCCTCCACCGCCGCCTGGCTCCACCAGCTGTAGAAAGTCCCGGTACCAGAGTTTAGGACCCAGCGGCGCAAGAGGCGAAGCCTCTTCGACCCGCGCCAGCCTTTCAGCCTGCGCAGCACTCAGCACATGCAGTATCAGGCGACGCAGTGGCTGTGAAAAACCCTGCTCCACTGCTACACATAGGTACACGCCTGAGTCCTGGCGCCGCACGCTGCGCAGCAGCAGCCCCCGCGCGGTGCGCTCTGCGCGCTCCTCCACTAGCACCTGTTGGGAGAGGGGCAGAGTGAGGCTGCAGCTTTGGGGCCAGGAACTGAAACAAAAGGTCATTGGGAACCCAGGAGAAGCAGAAAAGGAGCACCTTCAGTTGCACGTTTGAAGGTGGGGTGAGGGGGGGGTCTTCAGATTAAGTTCTGAACGGGGCGGGGTTCACCTGAATATGGGGGCGGGCCAGGGACCTAAATGGGCGGATCGAGGGCGGGCCCTTCTCCAGAGGATAGCTGGGTGGGTCAGGATACCGTGGGGCTTTACCGGGATACAAAGTGCAGGTAAGAGACCAAACATGACCAGGTGGGTAAGAGGTGTAGTTGGGAGGGGACTCATTAGCCTGGAGCTTACCTATATGTGGAATATAGGCCAAGGGCCTCCTTGGGCAGAGCGGGACCTCTCCTTAGGGATGTAGAAGGCGGGAAAGGGGCCAGCTTGCGAATAGAGGAGCGAGGCTCACCTGGGTATGGGATGCCTCCCCTGCACGCTGGAAGGTCCACTCCAGGTGAGCCTGCAGCGAGCGAGGCTCACACTCTAGAAAGGCGCTGCCGCCCTCAACGCCGAAGACCTTCCGCTCCAACAGCGCTGGACGGGACGAATCTGGAAACCAAGAAAATGTTAAACTCAAGGAGGGTAGGGTGGGCTTGAGCATTTTCAGAGGGTTGTGGGGGCAGATGGAACACTCACCCCCCGAGCATAACATGCTGGGGTCGCCATTCCTTATGTCTTGCCGCCGGAACCGTCTGAGGGGAACATTGGAACTTCCATGAGCCCTTCTTTTTCCAACCAGGGTCAGCCAAAGACCCTTAGTTTTTCCCTCCCTGCGGCTGGATCCCGACCTGGACACGGACCCGACCCCGAGCTTGCTCACCTCTTGGCACTAGGCTGGAAGCGTGTGCAGGTGGCCCCGTCCCATGCGCAGTAGGGATCACGCGCCAAACAGCATTCAGCACAGGCGCGGCCGAGGGCAGCGCAGCGGTGCAAGGAGATCTGGGCCACTGCGCTCCGCGAAGCTATGTACAGCTGGTGCTAAAGGGTATGAGGGGCTCCGGGCTGACCAAAGTCGGTCGGTCCCGCATCTGCCTCCCATCAGTCAGAGATCCCGAGCCCCACTTGACAGATAGGAACACTGAGGTTCACTTAGGTCATATAGTCTAGCAAAGGCAGACCCTATACTCAAACACCAGCTGAGAAACTACCAAAAGGGGCAAAATGGCTGGGCCTTGGGGCATAAGCTTAGGATGTCCCATGTCCCACCCACCCTTTTGGTCACTCACCCTCTTGGAGGAGATTTGCATGCTGGTGACAGCAACAGAATCCTGAGAGGGAGGAGGGACACCAGGATTAAGGCTTAGTGGGTGGGTAAAGGGGCTGGGCGATTGGGGTCAGTGCCTCACCTCAAATACATGCAGTTCCTCCAGGAGCAGCCCCTCAGAGCTAGGCTGGCTACCCTTGGGGACTGAGATCACCTTCAGCACTGTGCCTACATCTGCAGGAATGAGAAGGGGGTGGAGGTGGCTACTGGTTTTCCCTGATAACCAGGACTGGGGTCTTCTGCCTTAGAGGTCCCACCATCAGCATAATTGGGTCATGAGGTGAAAAGTAGATTGGGACAATCAGGGTAGCATCCAGAAAGTGGAGCCACAGGCCAGGCAAAGAGGTGGAGATGAACATGAAAAGCTTCTACTACCAGGCCAAAGAGCCTGTATGAAGTCCTGTGGGTCAGTCACTGTGGCAGGACCTGACCTGTGCCAATGAAGAGGACGTCATAGTGTCCATCAGCAGCTGCTACACGATCTGCAGCGATTTGGGTGAAGGTGTACCCAGCACCCACTTGTAGGAAGAGAGGGCGCCCCCCCATGGGCAGCACCGAGTTGTACATGAGAGGGTGGTTCCGAGCAAACTGGATGACATCATCAGGGAAGTCCTTGGTAGAGCTGAAGGTGCCAAAGGTCTTGCTGGGGCACTGGGGAGGGAGGAAAGAAGGCACAACAGGGTTATAGGCATGGGTGTTTGGTGGGCAGCCCTCCACTCCAGACCTCTGGGAATATGGAAGAGAGAAGGGTACTTCCAAATGGAAGAGCACTGCTCTGGGGATTTGAGCCTTACCCTGGGAAGGCTAGATTGAGCTGAGTCTGAAAGGGGAGATGTGGCATTCCTCTGAAGATCCGTGTCTGATAATAATGACCTTTTCCCACCCATAACAAAAGGAAGAAACCACATTCACCAAGAAGACCCCAGGACAACTTCTGTACCCTTGAGTACCCTTGAGGCTTTGAAGTGGGTTATGGTATGTACCCTAGCTACATACCATGCCAGGCCGTGGGTAAGGGACACGACCCTGATAGGACACCCACTGGTGTGTGGGCCCCTCCTTGTGTGCAAAAGGTCCCAGGAAGGCCCTGCGAACATCGTTCATGCTATACACACACACGGCAGAGCCCTGAAAGATGCCACTGCAGACAATGACAAGAGAAGAGTGAGGGGCCCCAGTGAGCCCAGCAGGCCTGAAAGAGAAGAGGGTGTCCCCTACCTCTTATCCCTCACCTGGAACTGGAGAAGACAGCATAGAGCAGTGGAGTCCTGCGGTCCCGTGAAGACAGCAAGAATACGTCCTCTGTATAGAAAGGGTCTGCTTGGAGAAGGGTGCACAGCCAGCCTCTCTGGCCCAGTTAGGCTCCTGGAATCTGCACCCCTGAGCCTTTCCCCTATCATAGCTCCCACTCAAAGCACTTACGAAGCTGGTCGAAGTGGGTGTCGCCCTCAACCCCAGGCACTGAGCACACCAGCCGCGCCTTCAGGAACGTTGTCCACTTGTTGACCAAGCTGCGCTGGCCACCCACATCGTTCTGCCAGGAGAATCTCAAGGTATAAGAGTGGGGCAAAGGGGCAGGGTCAAGGTTGCTCGGGGAGTGGCCCAGGGATTCCTCACCCTGCAGATCTGACCAACTCGAGACACAGTCAGGCGTCCCACTGCAGGTGCTGCCTCCACGGCTGACTCACGGAAGAAGAAGTAGATTTTGTCATCGTCAGGGTTCTCACTCTCCGGGATCCAGAAGACCTTGATAAACTTGGGTTCTAGCCGCAATGGGAGGCATAATGTTGGGGGCCCGCCAATTCACTACCTGCCCCCTCTGCTCAGCCTGCAGCTACACCAATAATAGCTTGTAACCACCCAGCTTCCAGGATCTGCGATGCAAGGAACAGCCACAAGGGGGCAGAAGAGTCCGTGGCTGCCTGAGCCCGCCGGCAGGGAAGAAATCCTTGGGACCTCAAATGGAGCCCCTCAGAGTTCCCCAGGCATGCAGGAAAGGAGGAAGAGGAGATGGAGAATCTAGTTTCATCTTGGTTACTGAATCTTTCTCAGGACCAGATCAGATGCTCCCCACTCCTGCTGCATCCCATGCTCTTAAAATAAACTATTCCATCCCCTGACAGTTTCCATCCTTTATCATTGCTATGGCCACCAGCGTGTTTCTTGTTTCTGCCTCAGGGCCTTTGCACTAGTTGCTCTCTCTACCTGGAATGCTCTTCTCTCAATTCTCTTGGCCGGCTTTCTTGCACTTTGAGAATTAATTTATACCTTCCCTTGGCAAGGTGGCTTCCTTTCCCCAACCCAGTATCCTTTTCCCTTCTTCTCCATTTTCTCATCTACCTCACTGCTGCTGGAATTTATCATGTATTTGTTCTGAGATCTGTGGACTCAAAGAAAGTATGGGCCACACCTATCTTATTTGCCCCTGTCAC